AATTACTATAATATTTCGGAAATTCTAGCAATCCCAATCTATTTTGAGACATAACAAAATTGAACCATAATTAGGAAGATATTCATGGTTTCAGCTCATTTGAGTAATTTAGCAAACACTAGGTGTGCAAATTTGGCTACAAGGTTCTTCTACAAGATTTTCTTAATTCTACCACCCAATCTTTACCCATTTGAGCTCAACAATCTTCCCACAAACCTTATTAGTACAAGCATATATAAATAATACTCTTACACCCAAGAATCATACTCCTAATCACCCATCGTTTAACCCAAACTCGAAATCGAAGACTAGGGGTTTGAATCTTACCTCTTAGGTGAAGATCTTGTGAGATTTCCTTATTGGATTTCAAAGCTTGGGCAAGATCTTGATGAACAAAACACTTCATCTACTTTCTCTCTCTAAAACACTCTCACTTCTCTCTAAAAAGCCTCATCTGATTGCCCTAAAATAAGCCCCAAAGCCTATTTATCAAATTGGGGTCGGGTTATGAAAATAACCCAAAGCATAATGGTTCAGTGATCGCAAAAATCGTATTCTGCCAGCCTTTGGTAATTTGGTCATAACTTCTTGTAGGAATATCCAAATGACAAACGGTTTGAAGAGATAGAAACTAGACACATAGATCTTTCGTTCGATAGATAATACATCATATAAATCTTCATATCAAGAGAGTTATACTCGTTTGAATTTAGGTCGTGTGCGAACTCACTTGAAACTTTATCCTATCATAAACTTTTCAACTTGACTTAGCCTTAGGGCTCTTCTTAGACCATAAACCATTCGTAATGCACCTCATACATATATTATCATGATAAATTGATATCATTCATATAATAGTCCTTGTATGCATACAAAATAATATAATTAGCACACATCAACTTTCTTTATAGCGCTTAAGTACCTCAAAATTTTTTGGGGTATTACATTTGAGACCTTAGATAGATTCATTTAGTTAACTAGAACTGGTGTGCAAAGTTTGATTATGATCTATAATGTCCAAGTGTGATTCGGATGCGTTCGACGAAGTTTGAAAGTTAAGAGATGGATTTTGTTCTTCGATTTGTGGTTTTGACGTTAGTCGTGGTATTTTGAGAATTTGGAAAAGTTAGAATTAGGTATATGGACTTTTGGTTTGTTTGAACAGGGTCCCAGGAGTCCTAGGTGTGTTTCGGGATTGCTCCGGACCATTTTGGGGTTGCTTGGCATTTTTGGTACTGGTGCATCGCACCTGCGAGAGAGGTTGCGAAGATGCAAAGTCGCATATGCGGTGCAGTGTGCGCATAAGCACATGTTGGTCATGCTGGGAGAATGTCGCGGATGCAAAATATTTGTCATATATGCGGCACACATATCTGCGGAAGATGGGTGGCAGATGTGAGGTTTTGTCAGCTCAGGAACCGCAGATACGGAAGGCTAGTCGCACCTGTAGCACTGCTTCTGCGGAGACTTTATCGCAGAAGCGAGGTTGGCTTGTGGTTGGGAGTTCGCAAAAACAATGTCGCACCTACGGCTTTGTGAGCGCAGGTGCGAGGATGCCTGACAGAGGTATATTTTCGCAAGTTATGCTCATTTTTCCTATTTTGAGTATTGCAGCTCGGTAAGAGACGATTTTGGAAGGGATTTTCACCATGATTTTGAGGGTAAGTGATTCCTACTTGATTTTAATTATATATCTTATTTCCTCATAGATTTATACACTTGAAGTATGAAATTTGAAAGAGAAATTTGGAATTTTTATCCACAACTTAAGAGGGTGTATGTTGGTGATTTGCCCACCGATTTGGACTCAGTTTTGGAATCTAACTACATATTTGGACTAGACAGATTATAAATCATCGATATTTGGTATTGATTTCAGATTCTGGGCATAAGGGCTCGGGTTGACTTTTGTTGACCGTTTGAAAATTCTTCAAAGATCAAAGCTTTATAGATTGAGATTTCTTCCTATAGCATTGTTTGATGATTGGCTTGGATTTGCATGATTGGAGGGCAAGAACGAGGTTTTCACATGATTTGAGGTTGTAGGCTAGCCTGGATGAGGTAAGTATCTTGTCTAATATTATTGTGAGAGAACAACCCTTAGGATATGACCTTATTTGTTTTATTTAGAATGTTTGAAAAGTGACACATATGCGAGGTGATGAGCATATATGTGGGTGCTATATATGATACATGACCGGAGTAGTCTTTAGGCTATATCATGTCTTGTTTTGGATATTATACTTCCTATTATCATGCTTATTATGTTTGTACAATTACGTGAACCTCTTGAATCATGCTATAGATCATGCGTAGGTGTTTATTTCCTGTTTGAACAAGATATTCTCTATTGTATGGCGTATCCGCCTAATCTGAGTCGTAATTGTATACTTTGCACATGCATACACCTTAACATGCTATTTTCCTAGGTCCATGAGTATATGATTTGATGCATGTTGTTTGTATATATGTGTTCTTTGTATATGTTTTCTGTGTGATGGACTGGATTGACAACACGCGTCTGGTATCTAGTTGAGTTATTATAGCACGTGAGTTGTCCGTGCGGTGGTTATGGTTATGGCACGTGAGTTGTCTGTGCGATGGTTATAGATATGGCACGTGATTTATCTGTGCAGCGTGTGGATAAGGATCCATCTCCCTAGGGGCGTCCTCTCATGTTTCTCCTTTGATAACGTACACGCCGATTATGAAAAACTGATTAGTGGCTGGATTTTGTGTATATTCTCTATATGCAAACTTCTTAGATGTATACATGATTTTTACCGCATATCTTCTCTATATACTAGCTCCGGAATATATGCATGCCCTTTATGTATATCTTCTCTATATGCTGCTTTATTTGATGAAATGATTTATGGTATATATATGTTAGTTTGTGTAACTTGACTTGTTTAGTGGGTTGCTCTAGTGGTGAGCACCATCCACTTCCAACCAAGAGGTTGTGAGTTCGAGTCACCCCAAGAGCAAGGTGGAGAGTTCTTGGAAGGAGGGAGTCCAGGGTCTATCAGAAACAGCCTCTCTACCCTAGGGTAAGGGTAAGGTCTGCGTACAAACTACTCTCCCCAGACCCCATTAGTGGGATTATACTGGGTTGTTGCTGTTGTTGTTGTAACTTCACTTGTTTACTCATGCATATCTTCTCTAAATGAAACTGTGATGGTTATTTGATATTTCATGCATATCCTCACTATATGCAGCTTTGATTGAAGGATTGATTTACATTACATATCTTCTCTATATGTTAACCTGTGTAACTTGGCTTGCTTATCTTACTTATATGCTGATGTTAAACTGGTATGAAACTTGTACATATCATATCTATATGCAATTGTTGGCGAGTTATTTGATATCAAAAGTGTATCTTCTCTATATGTTGAACTGTTAGTTTGTTTACGATGCTTATGCATATCTTCTCTATGTGCACCGATGGCCATGACTGTACTTCATGCTTAGATTTTGGTACCGTTACTGTGTGCTATATATATATATATATATA